GCGTTGGGATTTTGCGACGTGTCGCGTTTCGGCGTACGTGCGTTCCTGTTAACCGTTGGTGGTTGAGAGCATCGATAAAGGAAAGATAGATGCCCGACTCGAAATAAATTTTAGTCTCCTTACGTGGCTCCCTCTGACGACAATTGTTTGTAACTACATAAACTGATAAGTAAAAACTGATAGAAATTTAAAAATTAAAAATCAGACTTTAATTTTTATAAATAACTAGCTGATCCCGTGTACTTCGTTACCCGTTAAATGTACCAAATCTATATGACTCAAACTTTGTTCAATTGATTATTTAATATTCAGTGTATGGTGTTTAAAATGTATCTTAACTTTTCCGTTGCCCGGAATAATAATAATAATTCTGATTCGCAGTAGTATATTGTCAGGTCGGCAATCTTTGATCGGCCCCTTGATGTTTGTACTTAAGTGTATGACTTAACTCTAAAGTATCAAAGTTATACCAAGTTTGTTGTATTCCACCTATGTTGCATTAATATAATCAGTTAATACAAAATCCTAACCGTACTAATATCAGATGAATAAAAAAACCAAATTTAACCATTTTCAAATAATTAGCTTGTCTTCTTTCCATAGGTCTAATCTACACACAAACATTAATTTATTTATATATATATTGACAAAAACAAAATACAAATCAACAAACATGCCCGATTAACCAATACAACCAATATAAATTATAATACCTACACTGTTGTATTTTTTTCATCCAGATTTCCTATTTTTCCGGTTGATTTTCCTAAAATTTTCTTTCGTTCCAATCTTTTTCAGGCAATTACGAACATCTTAAAACAAATTTGAGCCTAAGCGGTCCGGCCGTTCTCGAGTTTTAGCGAGACAAACGAACAGCAATTCATTTATATAATATAGGTACTAGCTGATCCCGTGCACTTCGTTTCCCGTTAAATGTACCAACTCTACATGACTCAAACATTGTTCAATGCGTTATTTAATATTCGGTGTATGATGTTCTAGATTTATCTTAACTTTTCTGTTGCCCGGAATAAAAATTCTGAATTGCAGCAGTACATTATCAGATAGGTAATTTACCTGCGGTAGATCGCGGACCCCGTGCTGTTTGTACGTAAGTGTATGATTTAACCCAAAAAGTACCAAAGTTATACCAAGTTTGACGTTTTTACTTAATTCCACCTACCTATAAATCCTAACCTAACCTAACCGTACTAAAATTGAATCTTATTCAAAAAAATTTCGAGATGTTCAACTGTACAAACATAAAAAAAAAATATTAGCACAGAACGGCGTGAATTACAGTTTGTCAACAAAAATTCGAATCAGACGGATTAACTCGTAAACAAGTCGAAAATTTATGGCTAATTTTATTAATTCATCATTATTGTACGCCGTTCTGTGCTAATATTTTTTTTTAATGTTTGTACAGTTGAACATCTCGAAATTTTTTTGAATAAGATATTTTTTCAAGTTGAGGCACATAATTTGGGTATTGATTTCACTTCTTTATTAAGCCCCAAATTCTATTTTTTCAACCGTGGCCCTTTTTGGCACAGAACTTTGAGATTGATTTCACATCTTTATTAACACCAAAGTTCTATATTTTCTCCCAATCTCTTCAACTTACGCACAGAAAGCCTTTTTTACTTCTCCGAAGTAGTTTTTTTGATATATATATATATTGACAAAAAATAATAATACAAATCAACAAACATGCCTATAACCAATAGCAACCAATATAATATAATACACCATAGATAAATAAAGACAACGGTATCGAGTTCAAATCCCAGACATCAATAAATAGTTATTGCAGTTTTTCTAATTATTTAGTTGACTTTTTAAAAATTTTCCTTCGTAAAAACCTTCACCTATTAATTACGAACATCTTAAAAAAAAATTGAGACAAATCGGACCAGCTGTTCTCTAATTTTTTTTTTTTTTTCGATTTTTATCGATATTAATCGATTTCAAGCCCTGCTATTATCGATATTTGTATTATTATTTATATTATATTTATATTTATATTTTTATCTGCTAGAGGGCGCCACCGGTGTAACTCAGTTTTTGTCTCCAAATCTCTAATTCACATGAGTTAGGTCCATAATTTATGCTATAAACCCGCTCACCGACATTCTCTATTATTTAAAAAAAATTTGAGCAAAATCGGCCCAGCCGTTCTCAACTGATGCTATTTCTAATTTTTTGTCTCCATTTTTATATATAAAGAAGATTAACTAATGTTTTACTTTAATTTAATATTATAATGTTACCTTAAGTTACTGTGTTAAATACTAATACAATAAGTTAAATAATTAATATTGAATATTAATACCAATTACCAAAACCAAACTATTATGTAAGTGAATGGACCGATTACATAACATGGAAATACTTTACAAAGAAAATATTAAAAAATGTTTCAAATACTACAAAACAATGGTGTACAGGTATTGCATATTTAGTTTATTAATTATTTAGTTAACTAATAAAATATAAAATATAAAATATTATGTCAAGGGTAGTATGACGTGTTGTTGACATGTGTATGTTTTTGAAAAGTATTTACAGGATATTTTTTTAAACTTATGTTTCAGATAATATTGACGAGCAGACATTTTTAAATAATCGTTTTTGTAGTTTCTGGAATCCGAACCTTTTAGAACCCTGTTGACATTTTTAGACAAAGTAAAAAAATAAAAATTTTTAAATTTTTCAAATAAAATTGAACTTAAATTATGTTTGTTACAGATTTTGAAAGTATCAATGTTCATTTCAAAAATAAAAATCATTTTTTTCCTATTCCATTGTCCATTATTGTTGGCAAAATAGAATCTGAATGGTCAAACATTTGTTTTATAATTTTAAAATATGTTGAGTTTGGATGAATTAATGAGCTAGATGTGTAGTCTCTGGATTTAATTAGAAGGTTAGTCTTTTCTTTGCTGACTAAAAAGTCTTTACATAGTTTGCAATTGTTATTATACTTTAAAATTGTTCTAGCCATATAGCCTGCAATATATCAAACATTCATATCAGTGACCATTGTACATTTTTTTTCATAACCATCTGTTATTGGAAAAGTAAATAAGCTGTCATCATTTGCATTGGATTTCTGATAATCTGAAGGTGAACCAGTAATAAATTGTTTTAAATTATTTAAAACATTATCAGATTCATCCAGTTCACAATTTCCAATCAATTTGATTGAAGAAAAATTATTTATTAATAATGTCTTAAATGATGAAACAGAATGATAGCAGTCTGGATTTGTGTTCCTATAGGAATGGCTTCTAACATTCCCAAAGAAAATTTCCAGTGAATCCTGATTTATGTTTCTAGTTAACAGAAATTTGAATTTGTAATTATTTTTTAGTTTATACCAAAGATATTTAAAAGACTTAAGTGTCATAACCCAATTGTTTATGCACGGTGGTTGTCTTGCTAACGGCTTTTTAGTATTTTTGTCTATGAATTCCATACTTTGAAAAACTGCTATAGCTTGATTCCAGTGATTGAGATGTACATTTTCGGATATTATAATTTACTTTTTAATGATGCTTTTCTATTGGACATTCTTTGGACTTTAGCTTTTAATTTAACCACTTCTGTATAAAATTTTCTTTTGATAGGTGTCAGTTGGCTACTCTTAATAAAACCTTCATCTCTTAACAAATGTTGTCTAATTTCTGTGAAAAACAAATCGTTCATACTTAGATATTATGTTCTTAGTAACTTAGGGATATTGTATTATTTTATCTCATAAGTATATTTGTATTCTATAAGTGATTTTTTTTAAATTGTTATTTAGTAAAATATTTGTAAAATTTAAATTATTTGAAACATACTTGGTTTTCTAATTACTATTCCTGAAGCACTATCTGTAATAGATTTTTGTCCATCTAAAGATGCATTTGAAGAGCAAGGTGTACTAGTAGAAAACTCATGGGATTTATCCAGAGGAATAGCTAATGTATCAAGTCCTAGGGAAAAAAATAAAACCTCATTGAAATTAATTATTTGTGTTAATGGAACAAAATTATATTTACATGTTTCAAAACTAGAGTTTTCCACAACTATAGAGACTTCACGGCGATAAATATTGGATTGAGATTCCTCAGAATCCAGTAAGTCTGAATAAAATTAATTTGTTTATATTAAAGAACATTTATTTGTATTATTATATTAAATTAACTCACAACAGGTACTCACATTTTAATACAAAATACCAATGTAACACCCACAATCTGAGTAACTAGTTTACTCTACTAGGATTTAAATATAAAATCTCAAATCTGAGATTGTCACAGAAGCTATCACATTATAATATTAAAAATCAACAATTATTAAAAATAAATATATACAACTACACAATTAGAGATCATGCATGTTTTGTTAAAAAATATTGTAAGTATTTGATAATTGAAATTAAACAAATTGTAGGTTAATTTTTTTATAAAACCTATGAGAAAAAAGGAATAAGTAATCTGTTACTGTACAAATAGGAATAGTATTGGTTAGAGAACAAGGGTCGGATAATTAAAATATATTATGAACTTAAGTGTATTTTATACACCGTTCTATAGAAAACATTTATGATGTAAAAAAAAATTCATATTGCGGGTTAATTTGTCTATACCCTCAGCTCTGTATTATAAAAAAAACAACTAGAAAACAAGGCCAGGCACACTCAAATGTAAAACCCTGGGTCCGCCTATGCCTATATACATATAAAAATATGACAATTTATAACACATAAAATGTACCAAAAACTGTATTAAGATATTTATATATTAACGGGCCTACAATTATTTAAGTTAGAGTAGTAGTTAGGTAGGTACCAGTTGTCCTATTAGTATTGTTCTATATTTTATATTTGCTAAAACCAAATATCTTTTTTGTCTCATGTGATTCCCATCTTTAGACAGTTTTAATAAAATAAATTAGTTAGAAAGAGAACAAATACAGATAAAATTAATTAAGAAGTGCTACCTACACTACTAAACAATAATAATCATATTATTATAAATACTTGGTAAAAACATTGTAGGAAGTGATCCTTTATTTAATCGAACAGTACCAATGCTCCTACACGAATCTTGGAAGTGAAGGGTACATATTGCATATTTTTTAGTGATCTCTTCTTTAGAAAGATTAATAATTTTGTCATTGCCTGCCCTTTTAACCCATATACGAAATTCCAAATCATTTTTCGGAAAATAATGTTTACGAACATTTCTACCACTCGGACAATTTAAAACAATACATTTATCGGAAGGCATGTTGGAATTTGTATGCAGGAATCGATTATTGAACCATTAGGTAGGTACTAATTTTAATTTCAATGGGACTTCTGGACTAGGTATACAAAATAAAAGTACATAAAACGACCCAAGCTCATTGATGTAATATGTAAAATAATAAAAACGGAAAGTAATAAGTTGTGCCAATTTTAATGTTTTCCAAAACAAATAATATAAATGTTATCAAAATACTATATTTTTTTCAATTTTAGAGGGAAATCTAAATCGTGGATAAATATCATTTATTTTTTTTTTGTTTCCAAGGAAAACACTACTAGCTCAACAAGTGACAATTGTTGTTACTTAAACCAACTAGACCAATATTATCAAGAATAAGTCGGGCATCTATCTTTCCTTTATCTATGGTTGAGAGAACGAGCCGCCGGCGGCCGGTACTCGTCTTGCGCGACTCGCCTTCCCGTCCCGCCTTGCCGCTGTGGCGTGGTGGGAGAGTTGGCGATGTCGCGCTCATAGCCCGTGGTGGTGGTTGTCAAAAGCGCAGACCGGTCGCTGCGGTACCTGTACTTTGTACTTGTTGCCGCTGCGTACCGTGTCAACACTTTATATGAAACCAAGTCAAACAACAATCACATATTATTGCTTGTTGTAAACCAATATCTTTTTTGCAAGTTGGACAAATCCAAACTACTTCCTTCCGCTTTATTTTTATTCTGTTTAATAATGATTTCCACACTTGATTGGAGAAAAAACATTTAACTATGTCTAACTCAACGTCTTCCTCTAAAATCCCACATTCCCACTGTGTATTTGATCTTGCTGACATTATATATCTGTGTCATCAATGATGTATTAATTATATAACACTTTGGTCACAATACTTTGATGTGTAACAATCCATTTCAATAATAATTTCTGTTTTTTTTTTCAGTACTCTGCATTCTGAATCATATAGGTAATCCTTTTCTCCTTTTTCAGAAGTCCAATTGTCGTCTTTGAAATTCCCTTGGGACGTCCTGATATCTTTATTTTAGAAGGCAGTTTAATGGACTTTAAATCTGCTATAGACATAATACATATTTTATCATTTTATAATTGTATGATATTGGTTCCCTCTATTTAAAATAATATTTACCTTCAGTATCAACAATGTATCAAAGGTATCTGAATTATTGTCTACTTGCATACTGCACACAGTATTGTCGACTTGGATGCTGCACGCATTTGTAATGAAAATTCAACGCTTGGTTTTTTGTGTTGATTTTATTGAACATTTATATTCATACGTTTTATTTTTCATACAAACAAAATTGAATAATTGTTGTACAGTATTACTTTCTCGATTAAATTATACTCTTACGAGTGTACATTTAAAATAGTTTATTTGGGGATAACATAATTATGGGGGGGGGGGGGGAATGTAGAACTCACCGTTATAGTTCGGGTATTTGTGGTGGCTGGCTCGGCTCGTATGGCAGCGTGCACCCACGAAACAGTGGCGCGATCAGACCCACGAAACAGTGGCGCGATCAGACCCACGGTAAACTAGTGTAGCAACCAGTGTTATTACCGGCGTGAACGGCTCACCTTAGTGGTGTCAGCAGTGACTCGGCTCGGACAGCGGTATGCTGATGAAAATATGGTTGACTGGAAATGACGGCGAACGGCATTGGACTTCTGTGATTTGCCCGGTGGTTGTCATACGTTGGTCGGTAGGAAACTGGCTGACTCGGCTCGGCCAGCGGTGCTCAGTGACGGTTGACACGTAACGACTGGACACAACTCGCGACGCACTGCGGTGGTGGTGGAGTATAATGTGCCGGGACAGACTGTAGAACAGTGGCGTATCCAGGGGGGGGGGGCTGAGGGGGCTGCAGCCCCCCCCCCCCAAAATGTCAGGAAATCTTAAATTATTATTTATAAAATAATATAAAATACATAGGCACTATACGACAATGCGGCATAGTATTACGTTGTTTCCATATTCAAGCAATATCACAAAGACACAAAACGTGTATAACGTCATGTCTGTCAGCACGGACTAAGATATACAGGACTGGACACGACAAGGTTGGAGGGTGTGGGGGGTTGACTACGAAATGTAGTACAACAGGCGGTGTTCGGGGGGATACTTTCCTTTTAGCATTACTAGCGCCGTCTTAGTGGATACTTATAGAACTAGAACACATTATACAAATTTCTAGTTCCATAAATATCCACTAAGACAGCGCTAGTAATGCTAAAAGGAAAATATACCCCCGAACTCCGCCTGTTGTAATACATTTCGTAACCACAATATTCATCTCGTGTCCAGTCCTGTATATCTTAAGTCCGTGTCTGTCAGTATCGATATTATCAATTATCATATTGAATATTCAAATTGTTATCATTCTTAAAATAATAACGACCACGATTAAAGATAGTACTATCTTTAATCGTGATAACGACTAACGCGAGAGCAACTTTACTATCATCGTGTAAACATAACTTAAGTGTAACACTTGTTTTTGTAACACCTTGTCCATACCTTTTTGGCTTTTTATTTATTTAAGGTTTTGCTATTTAATAAATAAATAAAATTAATTGTTGGCAGATGGTTTTAAAAATGAGTGATAAAAAACCAAAACGTGCACAAGGTAACTTGGATAGCTTCTTCAGCAAAAAATCTAAAACGGAGTTTAAATCCGTAAGTATTCTAAAAATTCAAATTATCTCATTCACAAATCACGTTATGTTTATAATAAAATTCAAATTTATAGGAATAGTTAATTTAATTTTTAAATTTAGCTAAGGTAAATTAAATTGGTCTGTGAAGGATTGAGATTTGAGACAAAAATTTATTTTCATAATCCATTAAAAATTGTATTATACGAAAAACATGTTATTCGTAAAACATTAAAACTTATAAAGTGATAAATAGTTTTTACTGGGTAAGTATTAAAAACAAAAACGATTCTTACATTTAACTAATCTAAAGCTTTTGCTTTTGCTTTAACTCTTTGGGGAGCCGTGGTTAGTATGCTAACCACTTTTTTTTTTTACCGTTCAGGTGCGGTGGTTACTATTTTAACCACTTTTAAAATTATTTTTAATATTTTTTTAATAATAGTCAGCATACCAACCACCTTATTATCATCTAATACATGCATCAAACAATATCACTGCCACTGGTCTGATATTATTTCCCGCGTTTTTCATCATTTATTATCATTATCAATATTTTGATATACGTACTAAATGTTATGGTAAAGAGACATATTGCCCACATGGGCTTTTTTTCCAAAGGAAATTTTCGCCCCTCAAAGAGTTAATCTCCAATTCTGCATGTTATAAACTATTCTGTAGAACTGTTAAATATTTTATTGCAAATCTTATTTTAACAAATCGAAATACATTATTACATTCAACTACTATTCTAGTAGCCAGTATTTATATTATGTAAAGAAGTATTTAAATATATTATAATTATTTTTTATTTTTAATATACTATTGCTTTGGCATTAACCACAATTTATGATAGTACTTTCTTATTACTGAAACTAATATAATATTTTTTTTCTAACTAAATGCCGTTATTTTTAATATTTTATGCCACAAATAAAGTTTAATTTAATTTTTATTTTGGTGTACTTATGCTATTTCAATTTGCTGTAATGGTGAATTTTGCATAATTTGATTAGATTAACCACAATTGTGAAATGAGCAATACTGCAGTATTATCTGAAGTGACTGAACCTATTTCTTCTGCACTAGATTCTCCAAGTAATTTAAGCTTATTAGTTTTTAAATATACTAAAAATTATAATTACAATTCAACATAATATAATTAATGTTATTTTATATTACTATTAGGTACAAGTAACAAATCACCACAGAAAGATTTATCAAAATCGATAAATTCCAAATATGATATTGGTCTTTATGTAAATCATGTTGATTCATTACCAAATGAAGAAAAGGTTTCAATTTTAAATAATGTATGGACACCTGATCCTAATTCATTTTTCCAACTCAAAGTTTATGCTAAATTTAAAAGACAATTTCAAATCAAATGGCTTAATACATTTAACTGGTTAGCATATTCTAAATGTAAAGAAGGAGCCTTTTGTAAGTACTGTGTTCTTTTTCTCAACCAAAATCAAGTTGGGAAAGGCTCTCATGAATCTTTAGGTGGATTAGTTACTAAATCTTATACAAATCTAAAAAAAGCTTTGGAAACCTTTAGATGTCACGCTAGTTATAATTATCACCGCACTGCTGTATTGAATGCTGATAATATTATTGCAATTTTAAACAATAAACAAGATAATGTTTTGGTTCAGTTAAATAATCAACTTAAAGAGGATATTTTACAAAATCGTAATATGCTCGAGCCTATCATTCAGACTATACGATTGTGCGGTAGACAACAATTTGGTTTAAGTGGGCATCAAGATTCTGGTCGCATATCAATGAAAGAACCAATTCAAAATGATGGGAATTTTCGTTGGCTTTTGGGACATCGTGCACAACATGAAGATAATACGCTAAAAAAATATTTAGAAACTTGTAGTTCCAATGCCATGTATACAAGTCCACTTATCCAAAATGAAATTATTAACATTTTTGGAGAACTTATTCAATCAGATATAATTAAAAAAAATTCCAAATCAAATTATTTTTCTGTACTTGCCGATGAAACGACAGATATGGCACAAATAGAACAATTTTCAATTTGTATACGGTATTTTGAAGAAGAGTTGGTGGTTCTTCTCGAAGATTTTCTTACTTTTGTACCAGTTCATGATGTAACTGGTCTTGGTTTAGCAACCGTTTTACTAAATACATTGAAAGAAATTGGTTTGGACTTGGATAAATTGCGTGGACAAGGTTACGATGGGGCTGCTACTCAGGTAACTTTCGTGGTGTTCAGACAATTGTGAAAAAGAGTTACCCGAAAGCTTTATACACTCACTGTGTTTCTCATTCCATGAATCTTTGTTTATCTGATGCTGCCAAAACACAAGCTATTCGTAATTCATTTAGTATTATTTCTGATTGTTGTGCTTTTTTTCCATTCCTCAGAAAAGAGAACGACAATTTTAAAAAACAAAATTATAGAGATTCTACCCAACGCTCAGTCGTTCAAATTAAAGTCTTTATGCGAAACTCGGTGGGTTTTACTCCACGAGGCTGTAATGCTGTTTAAGGAATTTTTAGAACCTATTGTCGCTGCGCTTGAACAAATAGAATGTGATTCATCAAACAGAACAACTTTCTTATTAAATAGCATCTGTAATTTTAAATTTTTAGTTTCTGTCTGCGTATCATCTTAATTGTTAAGTTATACTTATCATTTATCAGAATACTTACAAACTAAAAATATTGATTTAGTAAATGCCCTTGATAGAGTAAATCAGGTAACAATCCAACTTCAAATATTAAGAGATAATGCAACTGATGAATTTAATAAGATTTATGAAGAAGTCAATCGTTTAGGAGGTTTAATAAATGTGGAAGAAAGTATGCCAAGAATATGCATTACTCAAAGAAACCGCCAAAATGTTCCTTTTCAAAATACTGAAGAATTTTATAGGAGAACAGTTTTTATACCTCACTTAGATGATATAATTTTATCATTGCATGAACGTTTTTTTATCACATCATGAAATAATAAATTCTCTGCAATACGTTTTACCAAATATGATTGTAGATAAGCCATATTTAAATCTTAAAACAGCAGTTACATTTTACCAGAATGATTTAAAAGGTTATGATGACATTATAGAAGCTGAATATAGATTATGGCAGTCGAAATGGAACTTAGTTGAATCTCTTTTACTGCTTTTACTTTTAATTACTTGTCTCTCTGTCATATCTTTATCGGTCATAAAAAATTTAGTATCTTCACTTCTGCCATTAAATTTTTTGAATGTCTCAAAAAACCATCGTAATGTTTCCTTCTCCTCATTTGTCATCAACCCTAAAGCTGCAACTTCGCTTTCTCCATTTCCGTCTTCAACCATCAGTACATACAATGGTATTCTTAGATTATTCAATTTGTAGGTAGCATCAGCAAATACAACCTGTAATTAAAATACATATATAATATGCTTTATAAACATTAACTGGTAAAAACTGTTGACGCTGAATAATATAAAGATGTGAATAAATAATTTTTACCTCTGGAAAATTCTAATTAAATTATGTCCACTATCAACAGAAATTTCTACAGTGCAGTTATGTTTATTTCGTAGCTGTTGAACAATTTCATCTAAACTGCTGTCACTGTTTGTTTTTCCTGAATAATTGTTTTTATTAACCATAATAAGACATGAGTAGATTATAACTATATTATAACTAATACATTTTTGTTTTTTTTGTTTTACCTGTAGTATATATTATATTAGAAAGATCCTTCAGTGTTATAATTTTACCAGTCTTTAGTTGCATTGTGTGTTGAATTAATTTTTTGTTTGCTCTTAATTCCATTAACTCAAGAACTTCAGTTTTATTTTGCGGGTTAATCTTTCGTTGGTTTGGAAGATGATTGAATAATGTTTTAGATAATAAGGGGTTATGGTTGTTATCCATTCGACTAATTTCTAATGCATTTCCTTCACTGTTTATTATTAAATAAATAAAAGGTTGACAACCTTGGAGCATAGTTCTGAATAAAGTTTAGGGTAGATATATGTATAAATAAAATAAATATGATATAATATATACTATCTAAAATACTTTGAATACTTACGAGGTATTTCGTTGATCTTGGAATTTTTTTTTTTTTTTTTGTGGACCCCTCCATGAATGCACATAAGTTTAACATAATTGTATTTCAAATCTTCAGACGTATTTGCCAATCTTGAGTACCTGTGTTTTTGAGATAAAATAGTCTTGCAGTTTTTAATGCAATAGTCAACAAAGTTTGATGTCTTGAAATTATTTAAGGCTTTTTCAAATTCTGCATAACTTTCAAATGTGTCACCTATGCACATCTTGATGACTTTAATTAATTTAATTTAACACTAATTTTTAATTTATACAGCTTTGTTAATGCTGTCATTGTTAAAACTGTCAATGTTAAATTCAAAAATATGAAGAAAAACAAGAAAACAAACAGCCTTTGACTATTTTTAAATAAATAATATATATTTACATTTGTAACCAATCCAAATTTCAGTATTTTATCAAGAGGTAGGTAATAAACTGCAATTGTCAAAACAGTTCACTGAAACCGGTATTTTAAAACATTTGAATAAAATTATATAGAATAATTCAAATTTACGCGGGATTTGATAACACCTAACTACCTGATAACAGTGATAACATCGCGGCGAAAATATACAAGTCCCCGTGCATTCGCAAAACAGTGTCCGGGTACGTATTAGATACCCGGTGTCTGGGTCTCTAGTCACAGCGTATCATTTCATTAAAGATGATTTTTAATAATTTAAAACAAGTAATTATTATTATAATTATGTACTAATACTCAAATTACATAGAATACATACCAGGGATGTAACTTGTATTATTTTAATAATTCCATAGACCATAAATCATAATATAATTTGTTGTGTTACCTATAGCTAATTCACCATTTCGAAGTGTAAAATTAAAACTGTGTGCGATTCCCTCCCAAAACTTACCAAAACGACTTTTTCAACTCCAAGTCTATTAAAAATTAAACGGGTCCAAACAGCTGAAAGATCTACTCGTCGAGATCTCATGTTTAAAGGGTAAATTATTATAAATTTTGATGTTAAAATAAGTGCAATTTTGTGTAACATACATTTTTAGTGGAAAAGAAGATAATTTGGAATCGAAAATTTCACCTGAAAGAAATAATACACCATCAACAGTTCGACAAAAAATGTATTTATCCAGGTAAATTCACCATTTTAAACTTTGAATAATCAATACTTATAATTTAAGAACCCCCTCGCGAGTTACTAATTAATATATAGTGTGATTTTTGAGCATGATCATTGCTCACCCCACTTGCAACTCTTAATAAATAATAATGCATACAAAAATTATGTATGCATTGTTGTAGTTGTACTGTAAAATTTAAAGCACAATTTATTAACAATGGATTTTTTTTTCTAAAAAATTTAATCTATGTATAAAAACAGAAACTAAATTTACTTGTTGAGTGTTATGTTTCTTAATTATAAATATATTAATGCCCCTGCAAATGTGTAATTTTTAAGGAGTTGTGTTTAGGCAATTATTTAATTCCTGCGATTACTTGTCTTTGTGTGTGTAGTAAATGATCATTAGTTTGGGCATACTCCCCTACCATCACCCGTGAACAGCATCAGTTTACAATACATTGTTATTTCTTATCTGGTTTATGGTCACACGCACGCACATGCACTAGTCATTATCTAGAATCTAGATCAAAATATTCAAAACCAATTTACGGACATGAAATAGCCGTCGCACTGACAAAAATTAGTTTACTTGTAGTGGTTCGATTTAAAAAATGTAAAGATGTTTGTGTTAGTATACAAGTTTACTTTGCATCGGTCGGAGCACTTTTTCAATTTTAGCCAATTCTTGATGAGAATAAAGATTTTACAATTTATAAATTTATAAGTTTTTAGTATTGAATATATTCAAAAATAACTAAAATATAAAAAATATAAAAAATATGGTCGACCGATGAAAAGTAGACTTGTTGACCAATTAAAAAATCTTTACATTTTTTAAATCAAACCACTAGAAGTACTTTAACTTTTGTCAGTCGCTAAAATCGTTTTGATGAAAAATTAATAGGGTTTGCAGGGGCCTTAAACTAGTACAACATAGAGAAATAACTGAAGAAGAGTGCTTGTGTGAACATTTGCCACTTGATGATACAGCTGAGGAACAAAATACTTAGTCATCTGTGACTGCAGTTGATACCACTTCGAAAGATATTGACATTCAAGATGGCCCAGCAGAGTTTGTAGTTGATGCCACTTCAAAAGATATTGGCATTCAAGTTGACCCAGCTGAATTTTCAGCCATAAATATTACCCTTATGAATTTAATAAAGTCAGATTCAGATATTAATTCCTTTACGAACCTTTCAAAAATAGAGTTTTTAAAAGATATTAATCAAATATCTTAATGGCTAAACTGCAGTACAGCATACAATTTTCTTTAGACACAGAAATATGTTTAACTTTGTTTAAGTTTAAAGTTAAATATGTCCTATAAAAGTTTTTCAGTGTTATTTGGAATACCTGATACATCTTGCAAAAATTGTTTTATAGAAACGATCTTTTATTTCTGATTTTTAAATCAATGGTTGTATGGCTTTCTAAAAGTAAAATGGAAAATAATTTACCTCCTGTTTTACAAATTATAAAGAAACCAGGGTGATACTTGATTGCTTCAAAACAACAATCGAAAAGCCAAAAAGTTTAAATTGTAGAATACGAACTTATTAACACTAAAAAGGCAATAATACAATTAAAATTATGGTTGGAATTGCTCGAGATGGCTTGATTACTTTTTAAGCTCAGTGTATGGCGGAAGACCGAGTGATAAATTTATTTTTGTCAACAGTGGAATTTTGGACAAATGCACAGAAGGAGATGCTATCATGGTCGATAAAGGTTTTTTAATTGAACAGGAATGTACTGATAGAAGTGTAAAGTTATTTAGACCACTATTTTTAGGTACGAACAAACAGCTAAGTACAAAAGATAGTATTGAAAATACAGAAATAGCCAGAGCTCGAGTGCATATAGAATTAGCAATCCAAAGAATTGAATTTTTTAAATCTTACAACAAAAAGTACCTTGGTCGTACTTGCCTATTGATAAAATTACTACAGTTATCTGTGTGGTGGTTAACATTTCTCGAAAAATATCAGTAAAAGTGGTATTAATATAGAAATAAATGATGATCAGTCAATTAATTATTAGTAGGTACAATAAATAACATGTACAACTTGTACTACTCTTAAAATGTATTTAACAATCGTACAATTATTTTAGGCAAATACAATTTATTAATTAAAACATAAAATTGTGTATTTTATTATACATTTTGGTTAAGATAAGGTAATACTTACTTAAAGTAAACATCAGTCAAGTGAATAAACATTTGTTTACAAAATACAGTGTCAAAATGTACCGTAAAACGGGGTGATTAAGGTCTTTGAGGGGAATCGGGTCAAAAACTTTTTTTTATCGTATTATTGGTTATAGGAAATTATGTATTTATCTTTATCAATTTTAGTCTTCACTGTTTAATAGTTGTTCAACTATTAACACTTAACAACTGTTCTGAGACAGTTTAGAGATGGGTACACATCTTCCAAAATCATATTTAATGATAGCGGAATTTTCGAATTCATTGTTGCCAACTTAGAAAAGTAAAAATCCCACCTAACCCGCTTCAAGGGTGACACCAACCTAACAATAACCACTGATATATTATATATTCAAATATATTTATTTTACAATTTAAATATTAATATAAAATAAATTATATTTTCATAATTATCCATTAAAGCTAAATAATATAAATAATTTTAAATTCGTTAATAAACTATGTACCATAATATAGGTTCCCAAAGATTTTCTTTTAGGAAGTCCCTTAAAATATCACCAATGATTACTAAAAATCGTAGGTACTCCGGTTAGTTAATAAATGTTATGAAATAATTCTTAGTAAAAAATTTATTAATTAAAAATAAAAATAATTTAATTTATTGAAAAAAAAATATAAAATTATATTAATGGTAAGTATTATTTTATAAATTATGATGAGTACCATGATCCTAATTCAATATAATATATTATTTTATGCTATTTATAAGCCGAACAACAAAAACCATTTTTTCCCCAATTAAATTAAAATTGTACCTACACCTATTGAAGATTCAATGCATATAGTGTCAAAGTGTCTTTTGAGCTTTCTTGACAAAAGAGATTTCTGTAATCTTTTATTATTGTTAGTAATTATTTTACTTCTCATTTTTATTGTTTTAATTTAACAAATATTAACTATGGAGCAAATTGATGTCTTGAGTGAACATAATTATGTATATTTGGAAGGTCAAATCACAATTGAGAACCATTTAATTGACCATAATTATCATGCTCCAAGTAAGTACTTTTTTAAGTAAAAATTATGAAGTTTCATAATGGTTCACAATACACTCAAGGCTGGGCATTAATTTTTTATCATGTTACGAAGTAAATTTATTTAAGTATATAAATACCTACTTGCAGCAATTTATTTTTAATACACATTAGAGAACTCTATTAAATTACTGTTATTTGTTATAATTGTAATATTTAACAGAAAAATAGAATAAACTGAAATTTATTATTAATTTATATAATATGAACCTTGATTAAAATCTGCCATAATTTGAAGTGAGAGATTATCAAAATATACAGGAAACTTGCAGAATACAAATAAAATATAAAATTCTACAATCTTTGTAGCTGCTTGTAGGTACTAAAGTATTATTAGTCATTGCTTGAAAAATAAAAAATTTAAAATTTACTATTTAAAATTTAACTTTAACCTTAACTTACATTTTTCTATATTACCTTGGTTTAACAAGTTAAAAAAATAAGATAAATTGCCCAGCCTTTTATACAGCCTACAGCCTATTATTAATTTGGATTTTTAAAAAGTAAGTCAATAAGTGATATTATGCACGTTTGTTAAGAATATTAAAAACATATTGAACATATATTTTTAGATAATTTAAATTGTAATTATAATGTATACAAAATATTATTGTAAGCTATAAGTACGTTTCTTTTACATTTCTTTAGTTGAGGATAATTCTGATATAGAAAGTGACTACGATGGTAAGTAATATATAATTTATTAATTTTATTGCTTATTTAAATGCCATTAAATATATATTTTATTTTTAGTTATAAATGAAGATAGTGATGACGAAAATGAAAATATAGAGCCAAGTAGTAACTATGATGCCGGTAATCAATATTTATTAAAAATAATCATGTTAAAAATATTATTCAAGGAAAAAAAAATTTAATTTTAGAAAATATGCAACTTAATCGGACCTACATATGTATACCAGGTGTACATGATAAATCTAATATTTATATTGACAATTTTCAATATAAATATTACAAAAAAAGTGTTCTACGAAATAAAATGTTAGTATTCAACTGACTTACAATATTCAAATATAATGCATAATAATTATTATTTTATTTTTCAATAAGGTACTTAATTTGTGAAAAACAACGTAATAAAAAAGTGAATGAATACTGTCCAGCTACAGCCATCATTGAAAATATTCATGATCCAGAATATCGTATGCAGCTTCAACCTGGAGGACACAACCATGGAGTTGTCGAAGAAGACATTGATATGCCATACTTGAGAAGAGCTATCGGGAGGAGAGCTACAACATTAGGTGCTATGTCCATGCCTATCCGGCACATATACAATGAAGAAATTGTTAGGTAAAGAACATTTTATAGTAACTAAATACTGATTATTATAATAATTTAATAAACATTCCAGTCATCCTGCTGGAAGTCTTGGCTATACATTTCAACAGGCTCAACATAGATGCAAGAGAATGAAAAGCTGTAGACGCCCGAAAATACCAGAGACAATTCCAGCATTAATACATCTCTTAAACATGCCAGAACATATCACCTATAGAACCACTCTGCGTGAACCACCGTCAGAGTTTTTTCAGCAGGCATTAACTGTTGACGGTATTACAATAGGTGTAATATTTGCAAATTTGGATATGATAGCTATGTTTCGCGAAGAGTTACGCGCTGTAACATATGCAGGTTGTGACGGAACCTTTAAGACCACTCCGAGTTCACCAAAACAGTTCCGTAGAGGTTCTTTAATGACCTTTCAAATTGTATACAAAAATGTTGTAAGTTTATTTTGGTATATTACTGAAACATAATAATTAGGTAAATAACATTTTGATAATGCTTACTAGTCATTTCCAATTGTATATGCACTCTTGTCCATGGCTACAGAACAAGCATATATCAGTTTCTTTCGAGTAGTTAGAAATATGTTACCATTGGAATATGATGGTCTTACAATCATCACTGATTATGAGCGTGGGCTGATGAATGCTGTACAAGAGGTGTTTCCAGAGAGTAGACTACAATGTTGTTGGTTCCATTTCTGCCAGGTAATAGGTTAAGCATTTTAATATTATTTATTTTATGCTACATAAGCTGTAGACAATTTGTAAAACAATAATTTATGTTTTGTAAAAAAATTATAATTACTTTTCTTTTAGTCAATTGTGAGATATTGTCGGCGCAAGTATAATCTGGTATTAGACCTCATTAAAACCAATCCTGTAGCTGCCCGTGTATTGCGAATGGTAATGAACTACTTAGGTATAGTACCTATATAAATAAAATAAATTGTATATGAAATATAAGTTTGTAATTTAGGTCTTAGCATTGCCTCATTTACCAGCCAACAGAGGAAATGAAAGTTGCCCAAATTGTTGTATAAATGATGGTTTTAGGGCAATTTTAGATTTTGCACATCAAAATATTGAAGTTTACCAACGCATGGAAACATTTTTAATCGGGTATGTAATATATATATATATATTTATTGAACACTTAGCAGCTTATCATATCTATGTGAAATAATAAAAATAAAAAAATAATAATTGACATGTTTTGATTAACAGATACGTACAAAACTTTTGGTTGGTTCAAGTTGGACCTGAATTAATAACTGTATTTGCCATCGAAATAAGAACAAATAATTACTTGGAATCATTCCACAATCAATTGCTCAGGTTTTTTGGGATGCATCCCAACATCTGGGACTTTATACGTAATAATCTATAAATTATTTTTTTATATATTTATGAACATTTTTTTTCAACATCAAATTATATACTAATTACTTTGTAGGCATAATTTCTTTGGCAAATTATATTGTATTGTTATTGCTAATTTATTTTCCGCTGTATATGAAAACTGAGAATTTTGGAAAACCAGTATTATGTGGAGATGTTTCAAGTCAGAAAAAATCTTACGGTAGGTATGCTGTTAGGACAATCATTGAGATGAAAACAACTAAATTACATTATAATGAATATATTATTCATATAATCATTATATTTCCTGTTTAGATCCGGGATCAAACTTCCAGAGGGGAACGTGCTGTAAACACAACGCTAATAAGACGAGCAATTGAACAGCTCAATGAAGATAATGACGTATTGAGATGTCTTAGAAGCATGGGTCAAGCCAATGCTGATTACTTAAGACGCCAAATCGGTCCACCTCCATCACCATAGCCTCTATCCTATATTTTTTTACATTTTTATTATTTATTTTACATTATTTTTTAAAATTAATATTTTTTACCGGTTTAATTGACAAACGACCAACAATTACTATTTTTAAACAATTCATATTTTTTGACAACTATTTGACTAACAACCAACAATTATTATTTTTTGACGAATTATTTGACAAACAACTAACTACTTAGAACAAAAGGAAACAATATATACTTACAACTTTACTTACAGCTAGCTTCTTCATAAGGATTAAGGATAGAAAATTAGCAACTTGGTAAAAGTCATGTGTCTCTATTTACTGACAGATATTCTAATTTGTAGGTTATAACTTATATTAAACAATATCGTTATAATAAATTAAAATAATGCATTAATAAGTACATTATGCAGTATTAATTAATATTTTTAAAACATGTTGGCAATACCGTTAATATGGTCTAGGGTCATTAATAAATTATGTTGGCAACAATGTTCTTCCATGATATTATCAGGAATATTAGATTTTGGAAGAACTGTTCTGAGACCGTTTAATAAACCGGAACATTTTCTGTACAATTTATATTGCACAAGATATTGCAACACTGGTCATTAATTGATATTTGATAACATCAAAACTGTAATCAACTTTTTCACTATAAGCCAAATCCAAAAAACTCATCGTGGCTCTACACTTAAAACAGTAAAAACATCAAATATATTTTATAATTATTATATGAGGTATCAATAGTGTAATTAAACAAATTTCAAATTCGTATTTGCAATATTTTTTTATGCTAGAAAAAAAAATGTTTTCAATTTTAATGAGGTGATTAGGGTCAATACAATTTGTGCATATTTAATTGTACAAACGGAGAAATTCCACACTTTAATAGAATATACTAATGAAAAAACTTGCTAATTACAATTGTACATGCATACTACTTTTAAAATAATTTTTAATAGGTACAATTATGTGTTTTTACTATAAATGGCACGTAAATACATTCCTGATCCAAGAAGTAAGAGGCATAGACATCACGACCAAAATGAAATACAAGATGCTCTTACTATTATTGAACAAGGAAGTTCAATTAGATCTGCTGCAAAAAGTACAGGGATACCATATAATGTTCTTCAAAAGTATAACAGAAAAAAACAAATAAATCCAGATTTTAAAGTTAAAAAAATAGGGGGTCAAACAGTGTTGTCAAAAGATATTGAAATGTCTATTGTAAGCAATATTGTGAAATGTTCTGAATGGGGATATCCAATAACAGAATTTGAAGTAAGGTTGTTTGTAAAGTATCATTTGTCGATAGTCGGTTGTATTGTCAAATCATTTAAAAATAACTGTCCTGGTGTTGAGTGGATTAAATCATTTATGAACAGATATTATTATTTAACATATTATTTCTCTGCGCATGTGTCAAAATATCAAAAGAAGCAGAGCAGCCGTTACTCCTGATGATATTAATAAATATTTTGATAATTTAACAATATCCCTTGAAAATGTGCCACCCAGCAATATCATAAATTATAATGAGACTAATTTAAGTGACGATCCTGGAAGAAAGAAAATAATATGCAAGAGAGGAATCAAATACCCTGAAAGGGTCATGAATCAGACCAAATCATCAACATCAGTTATGTTTGCAGCTGCAGCTGATGGAACATTAATTAGTTATTCCATATTGTAGAAGATTAAATGGGAAAACAGTTGTAATAGTGGATAATTTGAGTTCTCATTTATCTCCTGAAGTCATAAAACTCGGTGAAAAATTTAACATAGATTTTATTTTTCTTCCTCCAAATTCTACACATATTACTCAACCATTAGATGTTGCATTTTTTAGACCGTTAAAAGGTTCATGGCGAGCTGTATTGGATGATTGGAAATCAACTACTAAAAGATGAATGAAGGCTGCTACAATACATAAAGACTGTTTTCCAGCATTGCTGAAATCTACTGTATCAAAACTTTATGATAAAAAAGCTCAAAATATTCTATCTGGATTTGAAAAAACAGGAATATATCCTATAAATAGAAATAGAGTTTTGTCTATGTTACCAAATGAGACTGAAAATGATACAAATACTAGTCAAATATCTGAAAATTCATATATAACTATTATTGAATCGTTAACTGAAGCATATATAATTAAATAGGCCATTTTCAAGTTACATGAAAGAAGTCCTAATTGACATTGATCATAGTATGAATTATTCTTATTCAATGTTAACCTGCATTCATTACTGATTTTTATATATTTAAGTTTTATGATTAAGTCTCATCCACTAAATTTCTTACCAGAAATTGGAAATTTTATTTCAATAAGAAAATAGTCATTTAATTTTTCAATAAAACCATCAGGGCTTATTCCTAACCAAGGGCATAAATATTTGACCCCTTTGATTGTTTCAATCCATTTTTTTATGGAAACAACTTAATTGTGCTTACAATCAAAGTTCATTGTTTCAAGTGTTCTTAGGGCATGGTTCCAGAAGTCCCAGTGTGCAGATGTTTTTGTCACTGCACATCTCAAATTTTTTCCAGCTGGTGGTAAAATTGTGCTGCCATTCACACTATCAAAAAGTTTGTCTATAAAAAGACAAAGCACACCTGTATCTTCAGCAGCTGGATCCAATTTACTGTCCTCTGATTTGCCTTAAGTAAATTAAATAAAAATTAATAAGAGTAAAATAAAATGTTAAATTTAATCGAATACATACTTGACCAAGTTGCCAAAATTTTTATGACTGAGCCGACTCGTTGGCTAAAAATCTGGGCAGCATGAGAAACCTTCATATTCTTCATTCTATCTGTATATACATGTGCATCAGTCAATTTGGGTTTTATACGATCACCGATGAATCACACATTCATGTTTATCCAATTCATATAGTTGGAAGATATGATCCCACTTAGCAACTCTGTTCTTACCATCATTGTCAGTAAATTTTAAATTTTTTGTGATTAAATTATTCCTCATGCATTTTAAAAGGTGAGGTGGATCAAATTAACGTCACAATTTCTTGACCACCCAATTCAAATCCTAAATTTCTTTTTTCCTTATGAGATTTTCTTAAGTATTTGGCATTAGTTTCCGCTTTTAATATATTTATAGCTGCCACGTTAGTGCTTGCTTGGTCGCATTTAAAAGCAATAACTTTAAGCAGCGTTAACTGAACTGCCTCAACAACTTCCTTAATAGCATTAACTAAATTTGGAGTTTTCATAGAGCTGTTTGTGAACATAAAAGCCACTGGCTGCTTACAATTTTTTTCTTATACCTCTTACCATGAATGTTAATGCCTTGTCAGCAAACACTGATTTTCTTTTACCTTCACCAAGGTCTTCAAAACCTACAACTTTATCAAAAGTTGGAATATATGGTAGAGCAGCAGATAATGATATTTCGTCAAACAAAATCGTACAATATTTATCCAAAGAATTTTTTATTCTTTACACTGTAATTTTAAGGTGTTGGAAAATTATTTTATTTATTCCTGGTTGAAATGGAATTTTTTTCAAAAGGTTCATTAAAGAGCTTCTTGACGGGAGAGTAAATACTTTTTGTAATAATCTGTAGGCTTTATCACTTTCCTTGAACAAGGATAACGCAAATACTTTATCATTTAATGAAAACCGTCTTCCACGCGCCTTTTTGTGTTGGGTTCTAATTTATGACTCAATAAAGTTGCAAGTTATATCATTTAATTTCATCAAATACTGCTTGTTGTCTTCCATATATTTCTCAGCATGCATCATTCTGGTTTTAAAAGCAATATTTCTATGCATCAACATAGAATTATTCTTTTTAGCTTCCTTAAGAGCGTCATATAAACGGCCTTTTCTTGGTGTTAGATCTATTATTTTTCTAACATTTATCGTTTTTAGTATACTTCCTTTATACTTGTTTTTCCCTGTTGACAAATTAGTTAATTTATATTTTAAATACTTAAATTGAGCAACCAATGATATGTATCTTTGAATTTTTAATCAATTTATTTTTGATATTTACCTGTTAAATTATCTGTGCAAACAACTGGAATGACTTTATTATTAATTTCTTTAATTTCTGAGGTACTAGCAGAACGATCCAAGAAAGAAATTCCACACATATCATCTGATGCTAAATACAAATAAAACATATTTTAATAACTAATACCAATGTTTGTATTTTTAATCAATTTATTTTTGAAATTTACCTGTTAAACTATCTGTGCCAACAACTGGAATGACTTTATTATTAATTTCTTTAATTTCTGAGGTACTAGCAGAACGATCCAAGAAAGAAATTCCACACATATCATCTGATGCTAAATACAAATAAAACATATTTTAATAACTAATACCAATGTTTGTATTTTTAATCAATTTATTTTTGATATTTACCTGTTAAACTATCTGTGCAAACAACTGGAATGACTTTATTATTAATTTCTTTAATTTCTGAGGTACTAGCAGAACGATCCAAGAAAGAAATTCCACACATATCATCTGATGCTAAATTCAAATAAAACATAATTGTTTTAAAACCAATAACTTAGCTACATAACAGAAATTCAGAATCGTTTGAATACTGAATTCAATATAAACTATAGCATCGCCATCCACCCCAGCGAAGCTGGGCACTAACTAGTTGGAAAGTTAAAGTTAAGTTAGTTTTAATTCATATTAACTTTGTAACTTAACTAGTTGAATTCAGTGTGTAAAATAATCTAATCCAACTCGTTAAAAAGAATAAGTAACTAGTTATTTAGTAGTTTTTTTTCATTTATTAAATGTTTCAATTTCTTATTTTGTTGTATTCTAATAACTGATATTCCAATAAATTAAGGTTATTAAGGTGATAAAATTATCAGTTGACAGTTGTTCAATTTAAATTTTCATTCATCACCAATAATTCAAGTTAGTTACCTACCCACCTACTTAATAATTAATTTTTACAATGTGTTCCGTAGGGAAGTGACCGGCCGATGTCATATGAAAGTATACCAAAAATAATGAATAAATGCTCTTTAAAGAGTGGGTCTAACTTTGTTATTTTTTAAGTTATGGGCAGTTAATTTTTTTTTTATCAAAACCAAACCTATCACGCATTTTAACAGAGTTGGGGAAGTTACTTATTTTGGGTAATTAACTTACATTACCTACTAATTCCTCATCAAAATTGTAACTAAATTATTTTTAAGTTACTTTTTTTTTTATTTGGTCAAGTTACATTACTTTCTAACTCAGTTACTTTTTATATTAAAGTAACTTACCTTTAACTAATTTAAAAAAGTGATTAACTTGCCCAGCTTTGCACCCCGGTTGTTGCGCCACAATTGATATTTATGTAATAGTGTTTAAAAGATTGTAACATTTTCACAACCAGCTTGTACAATATTAGTTAAAATATTGAAATACAACATTACATATTTAATCAATTTCTAACTTTTAGTTTAATATAAAGCTTATATAAATTCACTAACATTCCGGTAATAGTAATGTAGGTATAGAATTACGATTCAATTGTTTTGTACCATGGCTATGACAGGATGAGTCGAAGTGTAGATCACACATGACGTAAGATGCTTAGACCTTTTCATGAGCCATACTTAACAACTTTCGATTCCCGATCGTTTTATCCATATGAGAAAACGTGGAATATCGTTTTTAGGAAACCTGTGTTTAGATATACCATTCCTACTGTTGCAACCGTTTACAACACACAACGGAGAAGGCATATTATATTGTAATAAAACACTATAAAACACTAATAGACACTTATACAAAACACTTCAAACAGTTAAAACTCGATAGGTTGAAATTGAAAATATAAGTAAATACGTAATGGACAACGACTAATGTCCATGGGATAATGGAAATCATAGAAAAGAGATAAATGATGGAATTTTGTATAATTGGCTATTGGGCTGGTAACTAGGTTTATTTTTATACATAATGTGTTTACTAATTTGTATTTATTTTGTTACAGTACTGGTACATGCGACATATGTACAATAATGTTTATGGGTTGGTATGACTTTTGTCTACGCGACTATCACAGTTTCTTATAATATGCTAGTTAACACCCCCTGATCGCCACTGATAGCGTTTTCCACCGGTCTGCACTGACTGCACCAGTGCACATTTTTATGTTCCACCGGCAAGATTAATGTGCACCGAGTGGACTATTTTATGTTTCACGTCAATGCACTACGCCAGTTTTTTGCACCGAGTGCAATGATAATCGCACGAGCCTTTCGAGGCGGTGTTTCTTATCAACCAGATTATTTTATGATAATATTAATTGATAAGACGTGTTAACGAGTTTATTTTGGTAGTTGATGTACACAGTACACACTATAATGTGCATACACATGAATCATAGTTTACTTTTTAGTTTTTTCTGTCATAAAGTTATAACCACACTACCACAGAGACAGAAAAGATTCATTTTTCATTCTAATTCACAGAATAGATTAATTATTAGATTTAATCTATTCTGTGTTATAACTTTATTATTACTTTTTAAGTTATAACTTAAGAAAAATTATAAAGTGCAGTGTTACATCAATATGGATGAACCAAAAATTATAGCTCTTATGGAATACCTTTCGTCAAGTGACAGTGAAGAAGATATTGAAATCATTGAACACATATTATCAAAAAAAAAAAATATAATTCCGAAGATAAATAATTATATAACGGATGTTGTTCATGCGTATACAGATCCACAGGTTTGTATAATATTGAATATTAATTTACTTACACATTTATTAGACTACAATTGAAAAATTCAAATAGTTAAAAATGTGCCTATCTATTTAAACATCTTAAAATGTTGTTCATCACTAATTAGCTAGGTACTTATCTAAATATTAATATTCATATATTTTATAATGTAATATATTCATTTTATATTATAGTTTAAAGGCAGCTTTCGAATGGAGAGGTGTACAGCATACTACGTAGTCAAAATGTTCGAGGAGTCAATTTTTTTTCCAAAAAACAATTTAAGTGATCCTACCATCACATCTGAAAATCATATTCTCTCATTTATATGGTAAAATAAAATATTTTATTGTTCTTCATTACAGTGGCGTATTTAGGATTTGCTCAATAGGGTAGACAATAGGGATGGGAATATGGAATTATTTTTTGTATTTTTTATAAATAACTAAAAAATAATGTTACAGGTTTTCAGCAAATAAATGTAGCTTACGTGATGTTTCTGAAAGATTTGGAATTGGATTAACTACTCAGTTCCGAATAAACAACCGAGTTATGGACTTTCTTGTTAGTATTTCATCTAAATTTATTAACTTCAATGAGGGAAGCGTTGGTTTATCACAAGAGTTTCAAAAAGTATTTTTATGTTTTTTTTTTAAATGTTTGTCATATATATTTAACATTATCTATAACAATTAGGTGTCTGGGATGCCTGGAGTTATAGGTTGTATTGATGGGTCATCAATACCAATACGGACTCCCGCTCATAAAATAAAAAGCACATATACCAATAGACATGATATACCTTCAATAACTCTACAAGCCATATGTGATTATAAGAAAAGGTTTATTGATGTTTTTACGGGTGCACCTGGAAAAATACATGACGCAAGAGTATTTGCTCTCTCTGATATCAGCAAAGAGCTGCCTTCAATGTATGGAACAAAATACCATATCATTGGAGATGGAGCTTACAGTATTCGAGAATGGTTATTAGTGCCTTACAAAAATTATGGGAACTTCACTGAATCACAAATTATTTTTAACAAAACATTTTGTGCCACTAGAGTTCTAATTGAAAACACTTTTGGTCTTCTCAAGTCAAGATTTAGACAATTATTACAGCTTGATATACACTATGTAGATAAAATAACAAAATTTATAATTTCATGCTGTGTACTACACAATATGTGCATAAATATGAATGATGAAATTGAACTGGATAATGAAATTGGACCATCTACAGATCCAGAAAATGATTTTATTGATTCTGATTTTAACCAGAGAAAAAATGGAGAATCAAAAAGAGATGCTATTAAAAATTCTCTTCAATATTTTTAATAATTTTATTATATTTGTTCAACTAAAATAAAAGATTTTATTGTTATATTATAAAATGATGAAATATACATACTAAATATTTAATTTTAACAAAGACTACAGATGTTTTTTTGGAATTAATGTATAGTAAAAGCATGTACCTATTATTAAAGGTACGGGTATATTATATTATAATGGTGTATAAAATATATAAAATAATTAAATGTTATAATTGCTATTATAAATAGAAAAATAATATATATTATAACAAACAATATGACAGATAACTTTTAAGTAGAAAATTTTTATTAATAATGACATGATTAAAACATAAAATATAAAAGCTATTAGAAACTTAAGTATATGAGTAATACTTTATCAAGTAGTTTAACAAAATTAAATATTTATAAAATTAATGACTCTGTACTTAAAGAAATAATAATCTTAGTCTTGAAATTTAAATGTAAATGGTTAAAGATATTATAATGGAAAAATGTAAAGAAATTAAATTTATTTATTGAAAAGACTTTTGAGAAGATCCATTTTTTCTTTATGGCGCCGTTCCTTGGCTATCTCTTTTTCTTTTAGGTAATTTAATAGCATTTGTTGAGCAGAATCTGTTTTAGGTTTTTTCGGGAAAGGTTCTGGACTGTTCTTTTTGTTTATTACAAAGGTTTTTGCACTGCGGAGAACTTCAGGCAATATACTATCATCGTGTTTAGTAATATTATTCCACTCATTTTCGTAAGCATCGTCCATACGAGATGCACCTGTACTTCGGTTGTTGTCAATAATAATTTTTTTTCTTTTACAAACAGTTTTATATCTGTTTTCTACTTGTAAGTAGGTAAACTTAACACTGAACTCTTTTTCAATTTCGTCAGTTAAGTGTTTCCACATTTCAACTTTCCTTTTGAATTTTTTCATCGGTCCTACATAATTCATCAATTTTCCATACTGTTCTAACATGAACTTAGTTATGCCTTCTGTCCAAATACCATAAGAACAGACCGCTTCTTTTACATCTTCACCTAAAAAATATATATAATGTATTGACAGCATTTGTAACAAAGTGAATACACAACGAAATAGTAAGGTTCAGATCCTATTTTTATGACTAAATTGTGTCTATCCATGATTTAAATTCAATGATGTACAATAGTACAGACTAGGTATTAAGAATTTTTAAATTATAAATTAAAATATTTCATACACAAACACAATATCAAAAATATTAAAAATAAATATTTATATAGGTTGGTAGTAGACAACTGACTATAGAAAATAATATAGGCAGTGGTACAAATATTTTATTTATATGTTTGTTATTTTCCTAACCTAACATTAATCAGAATTATGATAAAGCCGAAATGATAAAGAAAAATTTATGTTTCATCTGCTCTTGCATTGTGTTGCACCAGTACGATTATCAGTGAACTATTCCAGTGCACACTTGGTGCAAAAGTGCAGACCGGTGGAAAACGCTATTACTCATAAGTTATATTATTACCTATTACCATAGATTAAACATACATAGATAGTTTGGTAATAACTTTCGATCGGAAATGTACCCGAGAATATTTAGTTTGTACCCGACTCGTTAGGAGCGCTAGTTTATTACCAGCTAAATTGGGTACTGCGGCGGCTGGTGGTCGACGGGGCCGCCGTCCTCCGTGTCGATGCGTACTGCGTGCTGCACTACTTCCTAATTCCTATTAATTGCTGTTAGTTAATAGCATATAAAAATAAGTATGCGTAATAGGACTTCCCAAATCCCAATACGTCATAGGATAATGAATAACAAACACATCCACTTATCTACTTTCGGAAATAGAATTACGTATAATTATGTACTATATCATCAAATAATTGTATGTGTTGAACTTGATCAGCTGAGCATAAACATTGTCATTTGTCGTATTGTTGTTTAATTATTAATATCATTATAATGGCTCGGAGAAATAAATGTGTGTTCTTCAACTGCTTTAGAAGTAAAGTTGAAGAACATAGTAAACATTGTTTCATTTTCCCAAAAATGATCCTATTCGTGCACAAGAATGGGTTAAAAAATCAGGTCAGTAGTATACTGATGAATTAGTCTAGGTATATAAATAAATTTACAATAGGAACTTTACATAGACAGAAGCATTAATTTATAAAATATAAAATAATTTTAAATATAATATTAATTATTATGAAACCAAAGATGGGCATACCTAGTAAAAAATTGTTTTTTAAAGCTTTTTAACTTACCTAACTACCTAGTTAGTTATTCATTTTGAATTACCATTGATTTTATAATAGTGACTATTTTCACGTCCGACGTGAAAACTTGTATTTTCACGTCCTGTTCTCTGATTGGTCGTGATATTAATAAGTAAATGTACTGATAAAGATAATGATGATAATGTGCCCACCACATTTGAATGTTCCATTCAACTTATTTTAGAATTCCATTCTATTTTAAAACATAAATACCTATAACACAATATTATGTTATAAAGGAAGACATTTATTATTTTTATATTTTAAATGTTTATTAAATTTTATAAATTTAACATATTTAAGCATTTTGCAGTTGGTTATAAATTTGTCATAGGATAAAAAAATCAGTAAGTAAAAAATATATATATAGTAAAACTACTAACTAGAATATTTTCAAAAAAAAATTATTATTTGAGATTAATTATCTCATTATTATTTATTTAAGATTTGATTAACTAAAAATCAGTTATTGGTATAAAATTAAATAATTTGTAACAAACAAGCCCATCTGCGTGGTTGTAATATTTTTATCATTTTCCCATAAATGAGCAATATGTTTTAATAAATTTAATCGTTGTTCATATTTGTTTCCTGTAGACTCTGATGAAGCTATCTTTTGGCTTCTATATGAGCCTGTCTAAATTTCTCATGTGTATTTGGTATTTTCTTTTTTTTCTTTTCTACCTTTGAAATACTGACTCCGTGGTTTTCATTAGTACATTCCTCATCTAGATTATTTAATGTTTGATTTGCAGGCATTAATCTACATACTTTAGAGTAAAATTGTCTTGTCCACCTTTCAGCACTAAGATGTGTTGTACAATGGTACTGTAAAAATTTGTCGTACTTCGAAAATGTGATGACAAGGTAAGTTCATACTCGTAGCAAATGAGAAACTACATTTCCATTTAGAAGTATTTAAAATCCCTTCACTAGATTGAATGGTAACTGTTCGTGAATTTTCATCAACTGTTATTATCTGCACATTAGCTATAAGTCTGAATTTTTTCACAACTTTATTGAAAGCATATGGAGTTAGATGACGATATATTTCTTTTTCACTATTTGATAAATCGTTAAAATAACTGGGAGTTTTAGTAAAACATTCATTGGCCACATGGTCTCTTTCTGTTCTTAGAGTTACCATCAACATTTCTAGGCCTATAAAACAATAATTATTTAGTTTAACTTTTATGCTTTAAATTCTTGTAAGGCAGAAGCCATTTTATATATAATATATATAATGTATTAAATGTGTTACCCTTGAAATAATTGATCCAGTCTCGAATGTTTAGTTACTACCTGCGTTATTTTTTGATTGATACTTTCAGGCCTATTGTTGGTTCTATTACCTAATGTCAAAAACTTGGATTGAAAGTGGATGACCCACTCATTTTTTAAAGGATGCCAGTTTTTTTCAAAATAGTTAATTACATTTTCTATTTTTGTGTTTTTCAGTTTTTCATATAAAGCATCGTACTCTATTGCATTATTTGCATAGACTATGTCTTCAAAATTTGTAAGCACATTGTTCTTTCTCCTATATTTATAGAAAACCAAGATCAATAAAGTAGGTATCTTAACCTAGTATATATTTAAAAAAAATAAATATAATATAATTATTACCTGATGTAATATTCATTTTAGTAGAAGGTAAAAGTGTAAAACCAATTTAAATGACAGCATTTCATGAAAAGGTAGGTAATAAAATATTACGATTGTAATAAAATTTATAAATATTGCTTTTAAAAATAATTCATCAAACAGGTTTCAGACTTAGGATATATATAATAATTAATTCAAATTTACGCGGTTTTCAATTATTTATCAATATTTTTCCTGTCAATAATTCAACCAATCACAGAGCAGGACGTGAAAATACATGTTTTCACTTCGGACGTGAAAATAGTCACTTCCAATAATATATTATAATAGCATACATTATAAAATCAAAGTAATTATATAATCACTTAAAAAATTAACTAGGTATTAGTATAAAACAATGTTAAAAAAACTTTGCATTATTCAGTTGATTTAAAAATAATCCATGTTTATATTTGTTAAATTATTAATTGACTATGAGATATGTATAAGGGGAATTTCCCTAGTCTGGAAATATTTACTTGGACTCTTTATTGTAAAGTTGTGCCACTGTGTTCACTTAACTTGAGTTAATTATTTTTATTAATGAATATAATATATATATATAATTTAATTACATTTTTATTTTCTAATTGAATTTGTTCTGGTTTTTTTTCTCAAGGAAATATGGACTTAACTATTTTAACTCATGAAGAACTTTCTGTAAAATATGTTTGTGCTCACCATTTTTCTCAATGTGACATTAGACAGGCAGGTAATCGTGTCATATTGATAAAGACAGCCATCCCCCAAACATATAATATTGACAACTCTTCTTATGAACTGCATCAATCTACATCATCAACACCATCACGAACAGATCCTTTATTAGAAAATACTCTAGACACTGATGATGAAATAGATATAAATGTTTCAAAACCGACACACACATATTTAAATAGATCACCAGAAACACCAACATTTTATTTTTCTCAAACAAATTCAAATAACACTTAAGAGGAAGAGATTACCTTTCGAACTCCAAAAAATGCCCAAAATAAAACTTCGAAAACGCCTAATTTATCACCTTCCTCAAGATTATTTATACAGGAAATTATAAATATGCCAACTCCAAAAAAGTGCCAAAATGCTCAGCCTATAAGTTTCTCAAGTAATGACAATCCTAATAAAATTATTGTTGAAACTCCAACTAAAAGAAAAATGAGAAATGTGATAGAAATTAAAAAAAAAAAATTAATTGTAAATCATCAATGGTATGCAAACTACAAACTAAACTGTAAAAAAAAAAATTAAAAATTGCCAATAAATTTAAAAATAAAATAAACTATAGAAGTACTAATTCTAGAGTACTTTCTGAAATGCAAATGTTTCGAGCAAATAAATCTAGACAACCGTGGTCAGTTGAAGAAAAGCAATTTGCGATTTCCCTTTTTTATAATTCACCTGGAACATATAGATTTTTAAGAAATGTCCAAAAAATTAATTTACCTGGTTTAAGTACTATTAAAGGATGGATTGGTAGTTCAAAGTTTTCACCTGGTTTTGTAAATAGTTATATGGAACAAATAAAAATGGAGGAATGGAAAAAAAAAGGAATGGATGTATTGATTATACAATGATGTGTTTTTTTATTTATTTTGTGTACGTATACAAGAAAAGTAGTTGAAATGATGCTTGTAATTACTGTTTATTGCTCGAATGCCGGTCGTTAGATGACCAAATCGGACACCGATATAATAATATTAAAGGAGTAAAGACGCAGAAATATATTACATAATTGAGAATAAATAATAATTTGAAATTTGAGAATACCATACATTAAACATACCTACGTATATTATAACGTATGTTTAATCTATGAGAATACGCAGTCGGCTGCCGGGCAATAATAATATTATTTTCACAACGACTAGCTGCGTAATCTGTGATCACATAACTAAACCAAATTACCAAAACATAGTTTCCAAATTCTACCCAGCCGTTGGCTATCTATGTATGTTTAATCTATGCTATTACTCAATGTCTTGAACTGACAGGTAGCGCTAGAAGGTGACAGTGGCGAGTTTTGTACTAATAACCTGATATCCACTTCCGTTAGTAGTTGGCTTAGGCCCGGTTTTTCAATCACATTTATTCGTCGAATAGCTCGTGTTCTTCTACAGATAAGAAAAAATTGTAATTATCCGGTTTTTCAATGAAATAATAAGTCTTATTCTGTGAATAAATCGCAGAATAGTTATTCGGTGCTTTTACTACCGAATAAGAGGCTATCTGACAGATAACTATCAAAAATTGATAAAACAACATAAACAATAACAAATTTTTTCTTATCATTTTTTATTAATTTTGTATTAGTTGTTGGTACTTACTTCCAAATTCTGAACTAATGTAGCTAGAAGTAGTTTAGAGTTTTTTTAATATTGTTGTTCTAAATACTTGTATTCCACAATTTACAATAATGGATCTATTAGAATTATTTGATGACGACGATAATGAAGTCATCGAGTTTTTAAATTACCAACGACGATTGTTCACAGTTCGTAAGCGTATCGATCATATGACTATTTGGGACGATGAAGATTTTCGAGTGAGATTTAGAATCTCAAAAGGAGTAGTTCTTCAAGTATTGGGTTATATAGATGATCAAATATCTTCTCAATCAGAAAGGTGGGTACTTAATACCACAAAATATTATTAATATTTGTTATTATTATAGGTGTTGTGGTGTACTACTGTACTACTCTAGAACATTTTACTAATTTTTGGCGGTTGTAAAAATTAATTTAGAAATCTTGCTGTGACATCCATTACCAAACTTCTATTAACCCTCAGATTTTATGCTACTGTAATAAGCCTGGATGCTTGGTAGGTACCTACTATCGTAGTACTAATAGTAGATAAGTGGCAACCAAGTTATTATGATTGCAGGTCGCAGACACTTTATTAGATGTTGTAGTCGTGGATGATGAATAAATAAAAGACAGATGTTAATTATTGTGAATTTTATTTTAACGTTGATAATTTTCTAAGTCCAAATAATGTTAGACAGAGTGGCGTGAAGGTGCTTGCACTAGTGGATGGTAGTACACGTCTGAATACAGGTCGTTTCGGGCTCCCTTTTATATGAAGTTCCCCTTACTGTTACATGCGGCCCTTCAGGGATCCAAAAGCTGGTGTACTTTGATAAATAATAATAGTCAATTAGTATAGTAATCAAATGTATTATATTAAACCAGACAAAAAAAGCAGAATAATAGTGTTGATTGTAGTGAATTGTAACTCGTTCCGAAGTTGATAATCTCCGCGTAAGTCGTGTGTGATGGCTGGGCGGCTAAGCGAGTCGTGTGGTGTTCTCGTCTCTGGATACATCTACTTTGGCTGTCTCGCTGTCCCCTATATATATGGTGGCGGCGTCCTTTGAAAGTGAGCGGCGCGTGTACAGTCGTCCTTGATATGGACCTCACGACTATGAAAGTGGTATTCGTAGTCGAAAACACTTTTGGGTGTGGTCGCATTCCTGGTTGTTATTATGAGCAAATATATGATATTGCGTAATCCCATTACACCTCCCTACCAAAAAAAAGATTGTTAACCTTTAAGGGTTAAGAATCTTTAACATCGTTAATTAATAGTTTACAATGGCTGAATTACATTGTTTACATTGACATTTAAATTTTGTATACAGTTAACAATTTGATTATAGTATTACATTTGATTACAATAATGTGAGCATTTTACAATTTTTAATGTCATCATTATTATTATTATTGTTTTTTTTTTTTTTTTTTTTCATATTACAATTTTAATTGTGGTTAGTAAAATAAATTAATACATGATTTAATTAAACAAATAGTGTTAATAAAAATGATTAATAATCTTTAATAAAATAATATAGGTACCTGAAATTATAACATTATAAGCGTTACGTAAGTATACAATTTAAATATTTCCCCTTTATATAATAATAATATTTATCTTCCACCTATATACTAATCTACGTGAATAATTGTTAGATTTGTCATAGACATATGCAACTATGGTTTTATTCAAGGTAATTCATCATGTAAGTTGGATCTCTAGTGTTTTCTATTATTTTTACTAATTGTTTGCATTCTCCATTACAATGATCATCTATGAAAAGTTCAAGGCTTCTAGTTATTTTATTTAAAGTTTTATGATTGTAGTGGTTATTTATTTTCTTGTTTGCCTTTAATATATGCCAATTAAAGCATACGGATTGTAACTTATTTTCTTTAACGTTATAAATATGTACTTCTGTTTTTAAAATTGTTTTTAGCTCCTCAATGAATCTAAAATATATAATAAATGTTAATTTATGTATTTGTTTTCATTAATTTATTTTGTGTTATATTTATTTATTAACTAATAATTATTATTTATTTTGCCTTAAAATTCCTTTTATATTTTTTTGCTAATTTATATAATTTAATGGGCTTTATCTTTGTTACTATGTAATTGAATAGGCATTTCGTTAAAATTACGTCGGCAACTGGACCGTGACAATGTGTAATATTATGATTAATATCGCATGCTAGTTCATGAGCTTCTGATAGTCCTAACATTCTACCATTTTTATTTAATTTACCTAAATAACCTGAATATAAAACTTCCTTAGTCTCTAGGTTTGATAATTCTAATACAAATTCGTCATTATTCCTAACGCTAATTGCCGATATGTTTAAATATGCTAAAATTCCTGTTAATCTTAAACGCTTAATTATCGTGATATCTGACGTTCCGTTCCAAAATACTATTAGCGGCTCCCTATCGTTTATATGCAAATATCTTTGCAAGTATACCGTAGACAAGGTTGATCCCCCCTGGCGACTTACACTCTTGTATAACTGTTCCAGCAATGGTTCAATCACTCTTGCCTTTTTCCCTCGGAATACTCGTTGGATATTCTGCACTATTTTCTTTAGGTCTCATCGGCGGAATCTTCTTAACTTATCATCCTTTGTAAGTATAAGAGGACTCCCCTCCAATTTCTTGGGTTGGTATTTTTCTAAACTATTTGATATCGCGCCGGATACCAGTAATGTTTCGTTCTTACTGACGGTGAAGAACTCGAAATCCATTATAAAAAAGCGTACCTGTGAGCTAAAATAAAATAATTATTTTTCTTTTTTTTTAAAAAAAAACTTAAATTGGTTTTTTAGTATCTATTGCTATGTATATGATATATGATATATGATACATGATATATGATATTTGATATATGATATATGTCTCCTGAGGTTATTCTTCGAAAATCGTTTCAATGATGTCGCGTCTTCTGATTAGTTGTTCTATTAGTAAACCCAACTCTACACACATTGGTCGATTATGATTTGGTCTTAAGATAACTGTGCGTACAAAATCTTTAACATGGATCATGACCCGTGCTAAGACATTCGGCCTGAAAGGTATGGTCATATTACTATTCGCCCTTCTTATATGTTCCGAGAAGCAATGTAATCTGACTACTTCCCCTCGCGTTATTTGTGTATGATTGGTTGATTCAATTAATTCGTTTTTTAATTCTCTGAGAAACTCAAATGTTTGTAGTTGCATTCGAACGGTTCGTGCTACAGGTGGTATGTTCTCACCCATTTTGTACTTAAAATTTTTTACGTTTGTTTTTATATATATTTTTTTTTGTTTTCTTCTTAATTTCTGAAATAGTTAAAAGTTTTTGTTAAATAAGTATTATTTAGAATATTATTTACGTATATGTATATATTATTATATTTTTTATGCACGTAATATTATTTTATTTTAATTATAGAATATTATTTTACGTATTATTTCCTTATGCACGTATTATATTTTATTATTTTTTTTGTTTTTTTTTTTTTTTGTTTAATTTATTTATCGAATATGTTCTTCACTGTAAATTTGGTGTTGAATATAATATTGATCTAATATTTCTGCGATTTTTAAACACATTGAATTATAGGCTGGTTCGCGGTTACATCTAGTGCAAAAGAAGGCTGTTAACGGACCCATAACGGTTTCAAGTTCAGTTTCATTAAAAGGTACTTGCATATTATTATTTGCGTTTATTACGTGTTGTCTAAAACAACGTACATATATTGTGTTCCTTAGTACCAATTGATCATGTGTATCATTTAGTAACCTATCCCTTAGTTCCTTATAAAAAACATTAGGCTCAGGCATTGGTGTGGGTTCGCTCATGTTTATGTATTTTATTATATTTATTTTGAAATCCCTCTTGATTGTTTCCTGAAACATAATTATATATATAGTATTTCTTTAATAGTTTACATATACCTAGCTCTTATTTATTTATTAAATTAATTGTTTATCTCTAATTTAATTATTATTATTTCTATATTATTACTATTTTTCCTAACTTATATTTTATTTTTTTTTTTATTTATTTATTGTTATTATTTTTATTTTATTAATTAATTAATTTTATTTATCTTGGTGAAGGGGGTGGAGTAAAGGGTGTCTCTTCATAATTTCGTACATAGTCATTTCTATTGGGTGCCCTATATCTAACTATTCTGCCGGGAAATTCCATGACTTCTGTGGACCTGATATACTTGCATTTTATCATTATGTAAATTGCTATTATTAGTATAATAGATATTACTGCCAGTACTATTGTTACATATAGTAAATTACTGTGTACAAATTGATGCTTTTGATTTTGTTCTCTTGAAAGTTCTTGGTTAATCATTTGTTGTACTTCGTCTAAAGATTTGGATGCATCGTGTAAATCTGTGAATTGCATAGCTAGTCCCTTTTCCCATTTTTCATCTGTTTCGAATTTGTGTATATGTTCAGGTATTTTTTCTAAAATATTACTCATGTTAGTTACAGGTGTAAAGTCTTTATATTTTGTAATTTGGATTTCTTCCGTGGCAGTTAATACTGCGTCCCGTGCAAATACTTGACAACTAATGTCGTTTATAGCTATTTCTCCTGCTTCATTTGTTTGTATTATAAATGGGTCTATTAAGTTCGCGCAACTTACAGTTAAAGTCTCTTTTCCTGCGTGAATCCATGTATTTTTTCTTTTTAATTTTTGGTATATGCTTCTTTTTAAATTTATTTTCTTTACTGTACATAACTCAGGATTAGCATACGTGTCAGCTTTTATAAAGTTTTGTACTTCGCATGGTTGGCGTTCATTGTTGTCCTGTATAGGTTGTGGTGTATTACATATTTTGTATATTGATGTTTCTTTACATTCGTTTAATTGTTGATCTGTGTATGTAGTAAACCTTTTATAGCCTTTGGTTACAGCAATATTATTATAAGTAATGTCCATCATGTACCATCCACTAGAATTATCTTGGTTATGACGCATTTTTACTGGTGTTAACCTGTATAATGTAAGTTCAGTGTCAATAATCAGTGGTATTACTATATCGAATACTAATCTGTCGTTCGAATAGTAGATTTTTATTTTTGTAATTTTTTGAAATTCATTTATTTCATATCTCCTTGTCCCCATCGGAATACTGTATATTTTCTTTATATTTTGTTCTATTGCTTTTAATGTTGATGCTAGTTCTTGCGGTGTCATAAGACTTGGATGTATCATACCTTCTCTAGCGGCAGTTACTATTTGCCCCAATATTTCTGTTTCGTAGGAATATTGATTAATAATTATCGTATATAAATTATGTATTTCATTTTTCATTAGTAAGTCTAATATATCATTTGTTTTGTTTTGTATTTTTGACATTTTTTCGTTTAGTTTTTGTTCCTTTTCCGTAATATTATTGTATAATAATATATATATTATTGTTCGGTTTGATTTATTGTGTTACCAATACTTCTTATTGTTGATTTTACTACAGTAGTTTGAGCTGCCATTATGTGTAATATATTAGTTCCTGATTCTTCCGTTTTTTGTATAGCTTCTTGTGTTTTCTTAGTGCACTTGTCATCACATATGCCAAATAACGTATGCATGGTGTTACCTTTTATGTTTATTAATCCCCTTTTCTTTCTGTTGCTTTTAATGTCCTCCATAGTACTTCCTAGCGACATATATGTACGTTCTTTCTGTTTAGTTATTTCGTTATATAAGTCTGTAATTACTAATTGATATTTCCCACATAAATCTTGATGTTTTTGGTCGGTACATAAATTTGTTATATTTTTAATTTTTTCCCCCAATAGTTCATATTTCGTGTTATATTCCTTTAATGAGTAAAACATTACAAGATTGTATTGAGCCCCTATTAATCTAACTGGCCCCAACCCTTCATATTGTATACCCCTGCCAACTCCATAAGGCGTATACGAAAAGTACTCTGATGTATTTATTTCGTCAGATTCAACAATATTGACTAGAAAACTCGTCACCATCACCAATCTAAAAGTACAAAGTATATTTATATTAAACTAACTATCTTATTATAATTTTATTAAATTAATACCATCTTACATAATCTAAAATATCTCTAGCATCATGTAAGAGTTTCATATAATCTATTAACCGTTTACATAAAGTATTTGTGGGTGTTACCGAATCTGATGACAAATCGTACATAATTAGTGTTAAAATTTGCGTAATTTTTGTTATTTCGAGAGTACCAAATGGTTCCTCCATAAAATTATTTGCTGTATTAATATGTCCTATTAGACACCTCGGTGTGTGTTCCGGTCCTAAAGTATATGTTTCGTGTATTTCTTGTTCGATTGCCATTTTTAGTTCCTCAATGAATTTCCTTTGTCTGTCCCTAAAATTAAAATTTATATTTTTTTTTTTTTATCGTATTTATTTTTTGCTATTATTTTTATTGTATATTTTTTGATTAGATTTATTATTCAAGAAAGCATGGAACCTGACGAAACCCGTACTCGGATATACGTCATTCGAAACCGTGAGTATATATTTTTTTGTTTGCTTAAGAATTTATTTAATTATTTTTTTTTTTATTATCCTTATTAGCTCGAGGGCCGGACATAATTATGGAAATTGAGTGGCCGGAGGGGTTTACCCCTCCGCCGGATCATATCGTTTCGAGAATTCTTATATCTGAAGATGAAGAAGACGAATCCGAATAAAAAAAAAACTTGTTTATTAAATTGAATTTATTTTCATGATGCTAAAGCTGGAAACAGACTATTGTCACGTCACGTGAGCTCACGTGCTATCACGGTATCTCACGTCACGCGGAAAATGTGTAGATTATGTAGAATACACAGTATTTAAATATAACTAGTATCTTCAGAACCACACTGAAGTCACGTCACACGTATCACGTCACTTTACCAACCTCACGCGTGACAGCACGGTTTTTGTTTCTGAAAGTTTACACATTTTCGACTCACGTTACCTCACGTTTATATAGTTTATATTCAATAATTTTTTTCCCGAGTTCTGAAATAAATATTTTAAGTTTTCCAAATGGACGAGCTTTTAATAGAAAAAGTAAGGGATCATGAAGCCCTGTATAATCATGGTTCACGTGATTATCGTGATCAACAGCAACGTCAAACCGCATGGGAAGAAATTGGAAAAGAGTTAAAAATATCGGGTATGATAAATATAACTTTTAAATGTTAATTATATTAATTATGTTAATTATTTGGTATATGACTTATTAATTACTTAAACAACTAGTATAATGTAATTTGTCAATTGTATATTAAATATTAGTAGTGAAATAAGTAAATACTTTATCAGACGTGTATACCAGCGTTTTGTGTAGAAAACAAGTCTAATAATATACACTAGATTAATCTAATCTAATCTTAATACATACATTATTATACGAAATCATATTATATTTCTTCAATCCACATTTTGTTTATACAAAAATAATCAAATATTACATAGACATATTTTTATTTAGATAATGACAATATTTAATACAATATAAGCACAACGAGAATATGAGAATTTAATTTTAACTTTTATTACGTCTTGTTTTATAATAAAAAAATTAACTGATGGCTATATAATAATAAGTTATGTTAAAACACGTATAGCTTAATATTTATGAATTAAGAATGAATTCTTCCTTTTCGAACACGTTCCACCTGCCAAACAACACTACCAGCATCTGAATTAAAATAATCTCTAAATTTTTCTCGTACTTGAAACGCTTCACGAGTGCTATTTCTTCTTAGAGGATCTAAATTCAATAAAGCTGCTTCTGGAAGTTGTAATGATTCATTATCGGGTTCAAACGCATTGTCTGCGCATAACATGTTATGCAGACAGCACGATGCAAGCACAATTTTATCTACAAATTCTGGTTGTACTTCTAAGTGCCCACGGAAACACCTCCAACGAGCGGCCAATATTCCAAAAGCGTTCTCGACAACGCGTCTTGCTCGTGACAATCGGTAGTTGAATATTTTATTGGGCTCATTATCCCCTAAATAGTTTCTACTGTATGGGCGAAGCAAATAACTCTTTAATGGAAATGCTTCGTCTCCAACAATGACATAAGGCTGAGGATCTCCGTTTTCTGTTAAAGGGGCTGGCTCTGGAACATTGAGTGTCTTATTATTCAACTTTTGACCAATTACTGACTGAGAAAAAATTCCACCATCACTATTCCGTCCATATGAGCCGACATCAATTGCAATAAACTTATAGTCTGCATCAACAAGTGCTAAAAGTACAACTGAATGACTACCTTTATAGTTATAATAAGTAGATCCGGCATTAATGGGGCATTGGATATTAATATGCTTGCCATCAATAGCACCGATGCAATTTAGGAAATGCCACATTTTTTTGTATTTTGCTGCAACATTTTTCCACATTTCTTCTGTGGGTGGTGGCATTACGATTGGTCCCAATCTATTCCATATTGCATCACAGACTTCTTTTACAATTTCTCGAACCGTACTGAATCCCAATCTGTAGTTGAATCCAATACTTCTAAAACTATTTCCTGTTGCTAAAAATCTGAAAAAAGAGGATTAATATAAATAATTTTAGATTCTGAGTGGAACGATGAATGTATTGATTTTACAATGATGTGTGTTTTTATATTTTTTTTTTATTTTTGTGTCTGTGTACACGATAACATTTTCAAAATAATTTGATTTATTTTGAACTGTTTAGGGACATTTTCATTTTTCATTTTTTTTTAGTTTTTTTCTAGAAATATCAATAAAATTTTATTCGTTGGTCAAAAACACAATTTTTTTTTATAAGCATTTAAAGATCGAATTTTGACAGAATTTATCTAAATCTCGAAAATTATCAATCATTGTAATTAATAAATTATAAAATGTTCAGTTTTTATAGCTAAGGATTGAAAATTTAAAACAAGATTCCATATAAGTAGTTAATTCTGTTACCAAAAAAACTAAAAAAATACCTAGAATAACTATTTTAGGTATTTTTTTGTGATTTTATGTATTGTTTTTATTCGTGGGCACTTGAAACTTGTAATTTGTACTATTATATTATACAGTGACCCACTTGTAACCTACTGTACAGCAGAGCGACATCCACTCACCCACCTTTTTTAACTTTAGATTCTAAATATAAAAATATTGAAAATAAATTAAAATAGTTAAATAAATAATATAATAATATAATATAATTATTAATTATATTATATTTTCTATTCAGGAAATCTAGCAAAACAACGCTGGGAAAACTTAAGGAGATCTTTTTGTAATGCAAGAAACAGACGTCGTGGGGTTAAACCAAAAGTGGTTCAGCTTACAAAAAGAAATCATCTTGGAAATTTGAACAGCAAATGTCATTCATCATACCTTTTTTAGAAAGTAGAAAGTAAGTACAGTGAGACCTCTAAATACCGGACACTCACGACCACCGTAATTTTGTCCGTTATATAGAGGTGTTCGTTAAGGGAGGGTTTACTGTATTGATATTGGGATTGGCATCAACATTACAAATTTTTTTTGTTTTTATATATTATATTATATTATAATCTATATTTTTCTTTTGAAGGACGCAAGGAAATTTGAACGAGTCTAACTTATTTGCTGAACCTGAAAATCTATCAGAAGAGTCTGAAGCAGAAGATCTCGCATCTTTTAGTCCACTGAATAGAGAAAACGAACAAGATTCTCAAGCCGACCAAACTTCAGATTTCCATTCAGCTTTTAAGGAATCTGATATTCTTGAGAAACGCAACGAACCAGTAGAAACGTTAAAACGTTTTAAAAAACAAAAACAACATACAACTCCAGCAGGACAATTGGTGGAACTTATAAAGGAAAGTTCGGCTTTAAGGAAACGCCAACACGAAGAAAAAAAAGCACATCAGGCTGCAATTAAGTCAGATAGTGTTGTAGATACACTTGATGATACTGACTTGTTTTTTTTAAGCATGTCAAGAATGACGAAGCAGTTGCCAAAAGTGGAGCAATCCCAAATTAAACTTGAGTTAAGTAATTCTGTACTATCTGCAGAAATAAGATGCAACCAACAATCATTTTCGTCGACTCCCTATCCCTGTTCTATACAACCTCAATAATTTGTCTCATCTCCATCGCCATGTTCTATACAACCTCAATCATTTGCCTCATCTCCATCGCCATGTTCTATACAACCTCAATCATTTGCCTCATCTCCATCGCCAGCTCTAAGTCAAGTATATTCCAGTGGTGAACATTCACCGAATCCCGAAACGAACAACAGAATGACCGTACTTGAAATGGTAAATCTTCCTCCAACCTACCTACCAATAAATTAAGTATTTATCTTTTTTTGTTATAATTAAGCAAAAGTTAATATTTCACATAAAAAAAATTGTATCTTAAAAAATTTAAAAATTCTATTCTATTCTAGTAGTGGTTAAATAAAATATTTATAATTTTAATACCAATATTATGGTTATATTTTATAATTATTATTACGTACCTTAAGCAAACAGCTAATCTTTCTTCTGTGCTGACGGCTCTTCTAAATTGAGTATTTTGTTTATATATGTCTGGTTTAATGAGTTCATGTAAAAAATCAAACTCTTCCATCGTCATCCGGAAATACATATGATATCGTTTCGTATCTTTTTTTAATTCCGGAACAAGTCTATGAAACTCACCCAAAGTTTCTCTTTTTTTATTAATTGCATGGACCCATTCTCTTGTTTTTGTTTTATTTTCTTCTTCATCAAGAACTACAAAAGCAGCTACAGCTTCCAACTCCTCTTCCCAACCCGATGAACTACTTGAACTTCCACAATCCATTTTAATTAAAAACACGCAACCCTTGGGTATAATGGTGGACAACCGACTAAATACTGTGATGTGATAAAGCATGACAATAGAAAATGTGACAGTAGTGTATTTCCAAACGTGACATCACGGTTTAAATGTGATAATGTGATAGCACGTGAGCTCACGTGACGTGACAATAGTCTGTTTCCACCTTAACTATCATGTATATTTTTGTTTAATAAATCAGTTTTTTTTTTTTATCTTTATCTGAATCCGTTTTATTACGTTGTATTATTAATTATTTTCTGAGAATAAGTTTTGTAATAAAGTCCTCTGGCTCTGGTATAACGTCGATAAATTCAATTAGGTCCTGACAATTAATTTTTTCCAGATTTTCCATTCTATTTTCTGTCATAACATACAGAAACCCCTTTATGTTACGGGTGATCTCATTTAAATCCGCTTCGGTGTACGGTTCGGTTAATTTATTATTAGCTATAGTTATGTGTTCTATAAAACATTTCGGAAATTTTTCTATGCCTAAATTGGTTGTATCGTGGTTTCCATTTACTATTTCTTCTTCCAGTTTCAGAATGAATGTTCTGTTTCTATTCCTAAAATTAACATAATTATTCTAACTTAATATTTGCTATATACTTATTATTATTATTATTTTTTTTTTTTTTATTATTGCTATTTTTTTTTTTTTTAATCGACTTGTGCGTCATTATAATATTTTTTTACGTTATTTCTATGTACAGTAATGACCTTGCGGCCTCGCTGTATAGCTACATTCTCGTTCCCTATAACTGCTGTGACCTCGTACGGTCCTAGCCAGATTGGGTCTGACACGGCTACACTGGTGTGCTGGTATGCCGGTCGTTGTTGTAGGTGCGTGTTGATGCACTCGGCACAAACGCACAGCTTAATAGTTTAAATAAACGAAATCAACAACGGAAAAACACGAACGTGGTGGTTGTGTAAAATGCCGGGTGGCGTTTATTTAACGAGAACGGTAAACGATTATAATATAAAACCCGTGGTCGGGTGAATACAAGTATCTTACAAATATCAAGTACAAATAAGAAAAAAACGGATACGATGGATCGCGTGGTTGTGGCTACGGGATCAGATCGTGACGGTAGTCGAAGAACGAGAGAGAGCCGGCGGCCGGTACTCATCCTACGCGCCTTGCCTCCCCGTCCCGCCTTGCCTTTGCGGCTTGGTGGGAGAGTTGGCGGTGTCGCGCTTGTAGCCCGTGGTGGCGGTTTGTGAAGTGCAGATAGGTAGCTCCGACGCCTGTACTTTGTACTGGTCGTCGGTTGCGTACCGTATCATACTCCCCCGCCAAACCGCCGCACGGGGTACAATTTCACCGGTGCCGGCGTCCCTTGTGTTGTAGCTTGCGCTACCCCTTGCCAGTGCTTGGGGTAGGCTTGCCGTTCCCGTGTTCATTTATTCCCTTGTCGGGGATGTGGCTGGGGTGAAGAAGGGTTGTGGGTACACCGTTTCCCCCCCCCTGTAGCCCCTCCAGCCGCCTGTCTTGCTCATCCAACCATGCGTCGTAGGAGGTTTGCTCCTCGTCCGACGTTGGTTGTGGTTGAGCTTGGCTGGTTGACCCCCCCCGCTCCTCGGCCTTTTCGTCCTTGGTCGCGGATTGGTCAACCTCCATGGCTTCCGGAGGTGTAGGTTCGGTTGGGGGGCGGCTGGCCGTGTCGGGATTCGAGGTTGGTTGGGTGCGCTTGGCAAGCCTATGTGCTTGCGTTGCCTGGCGTTCCCGTTCCAACCTTTTCTCCTTCAACTTTTGGAACTTTTTTTTGATCCGTGCTTGCTGCGCCTCCGTCCTTACCTTGACTACTGCGGTTGGGTTTCCCCCTACCACCACGGGTACCGGTGCTGGCTCCCTGGGTGGTACTGGGGCGGTTGCCCTTGTTGCCCCTGTGGGGGCCCTTTGTGTGTGGGGTCCGGTTTGTTGTGGGCGTTGTTGCCGTGTGATGGAGTTGGTGCGGCTGCCGTGTGGTGTGGATGACTGTTGTGGACGCAACCGCCGCTCCACGTCCGCTGTCCGGTCGTCCCATCCACGGTTGTAAATTGCCGCCCTCACCGGGTCCTGTAACAGTTGACGTAGTGGCATCCGGCGTACCTGCGCGGCTGTTGTCGGCATGTCTGTGTGGACCAACCCAAGTTGGCTGATCAGGGCCGCCACTGGTTCCCATCTGTCCTCCCCTTGTCTTGCCATGGTGCTAGAGAGGGGTGGTTAGTAGTGAATACAAAGAAAAAATGATTTTAAAATAAAAAAAAATTTATTTTATTTTTGTCCTATGGGTGCGCGTTTTAGACACATGTATTTTCCGTGGCGGTTGTTGATCGGTAAGGAAAACTCCTTTTCCGACCCGTTTTGCTAGCCTTACCGGTCCCCACCATTTTGGTGCAAATCCGGCATGGAAGTCCTTATGTGCCTTCGATAAGTGATGTGCTTTGTAGTAGACTATGTCGCCCTTGCCGAACTTCCCCGGTGTGCCAGTGTTCGTACTCGGTGTTACCACTACCTTTTTGCCTAAAATACGTTGCTCCCGCACTACCCTTTCTTCTTGATTTTTGCGGACGTGCGTTGGTGTCGATTTACCTACTGTCCAATCCCCGGGTCGCTTGCACTCTCTGCCTAAGACAAGGACCGTGGGTGGGTAGCCTGTTTGTTCGTTACACCTGTTACGTATTGCAAATAGAATTTCGGGTAGTTTTGTGTCCCATGATTTATGTTTGCCCTCGACCAGCCTTGCGCGCAAGCCTTTTTTTATGTCTTGGTTGTGGCGTTCTACCGGGTTGGCCCTCGGGTGGTAGACTGGTGTCGTCCAACCTTGTGCCCCCCATCGTTCTAACGCGTCTAACATTTCGTTTGACACAAACTGTGGGCCGTTATCGCTGAGACACACGCGGGGGTAACCGAAACGTGAAAAAAACTCGCGTTCTAGCGTTTCGATTATTGTTTTCGAGGTTGCTGTTCCTAGGGGGTAAGCCTCGGTCCACCTACTAAAACAGTCAGTTGCTACCAGTATATACGATTTTCCCTTACCGGAACGTGGGTATGGGCCCATCAGATCGACACTGATAACTTCCCACGGTTGGCGGGGGGTTCTTGGTTGTATTGGGTCGGTTGGGCGAGAGTTTAGTGGTTTCGTGCACGCGCATACGTGGCACGCCCCGACATATAACCTTACGTCGTTCTTTTGCCCTTTCCAATAATACCGTTGTCGTACCGCCCTGTATGTTTCTTTCCAACCCGGATGGTTAGACAGAACGTGATCGTGACACCTCCATATTACCTGTTGCGCTTTGGTTTTTGGTATCACGACGGGTGTGTGGGGGCCTACGTTTATACGTAGGAGTCCTTCGGAAAAAACGTATGCGTTTGTTCCCGATTTTGAGCTCCTAGTGTTCTGCGCAGGGCCGTCCCCCCTGTGACCGGCGACTATGTCGCAAATCGTGGCGTCTTCGGACTGCCATTTTGGAGAGTCGTCGCGGTGAGCGGTGTGTCGTTACTGACCTGGTTATCGCGCATAGAAAAGATACGATCGGTTTTGAGGTCTACTTTGGTTATTGGCGTTGCGGGCGCCCCTACCAATTTTTCCTCAGGTTGATCTTCGTCTACGGGTGCCCCCGGTGCTGGGTCGCGGGATAACAAATCCGGTGCTTCGTTTTGTATTCCCGGGACGTGTACCGTACTGAAATCTAAATTAGCTAGTTGTAGTGACCAACGTGTTAATTTTGAATTTTTGTCTTTGGCCCTGTATAACCATGTTAGTGCCGAGTTATCTGTTAGTAGTTCAAAACGTCGGGTCTCTAGGTATGGTCGAAATTTGTCCGTTGCCCAAATTACTGCTAGGCACTCGCGTTCTACCGCGGCGTACCTCGTCTGTGTCTCGCTAAACTTTTTGCTTGCGTAGGATATGATGCGTCCTTCCTCCGGTCTGTCACCCCGTTGGAATAGTACCGCACCAGCTCCTATCTCGCTTGCATCGGTCTGGAGACAAAATGTTTTGTTGTAATCTGGTGGAGACAATTTCGGCGATGTGACTAACGCGTTTTTTATTGACTTGAACGCGCGTTGTTCGACATCCGTCCATTTCCACCTATTCCCCTGTTTCAATAAATTTGTTAGGGGTGCTATGGTGTCCGCGTAGTTGTCTACGAACTGGCTGTACCAGTTGCATACCCCTAAAAATTTTCGTACGTCCCTAACGTTACGTGGAACCGGAAAATTGTCAATGCAGACTAATTTTTCCGGTTGCTTTTGTATGCCTTCCGAGTCTACAATGTGCCCCAAAAATGAAATTTCGCGTTGTCCGATTTTACATTTTTTTGTGTTGCACGTTAGTCCAAACCTCTTGAGACGCTCTAGAACTTTGTCTAAGTGGGCCTGATGTTCGTACTCGTTCCTTGAAAATACTACTATATCGTCTAGGTATACTTGTACGAACTCATCCTGGTACCCCCTCATTACTTCGTTCATGAGTCTCACGAAAGTCATTGGACTATTTTTGAGACCGAAAGGGAGTACTCGAAACTGAAATAGCCCTCTACGTGTTCGAAATGCCGTGTATTTTCGTGCATTTTTGTGTAAGGGTACTTGCCAGTACCCCGAGCGAAGATCAAAAATACTGAAAATTTTCGCGCCCCGCATTTGTCTAATCATTTTGTTGAGATCTGGCATAGGGTACGCGTCGGACTCCGTTACGTCGTTAAGCCGCCTGTAGTCGACACAGAGGCGGAATGATCCGTCTTTTTTCTTTGCCAACACTACTGGTGCGGCCCACGGTGAGGTGCTAGGTTCTACGAGCCCCTGGAGTTCCATATCGCGCACCATATCGTCGATAGTGGTTTGTTTTTGTTGCGGATATGGGTATGGTTTGAGCGCGATCGGGGACGGGTCTTTAAGCAAAATTTCGTGTTCAATTAGTTTGGTACGTCCTACTTTTTCGCTGAATACTACCGCGTATTTGTTTAAAATCTTGGTTAGTTTCGCGCGAGTTTCGGGGTCGTTCCCGAATTCTAATTGTGACAAGTCGGGACAAGTGGCGGGTGGTTGGGACTTCCCTTTCCAA